AATAACAAAACATAAAAAATAAATACACATATTCAAAAGCAATGTCATTTGCAGAGCAAATAATGCAAGAAAACAAATCAATGACTTCTTTTCTAAAACCATTTTTGCCCATTTGTCGTTTTTTTTTTAAACAAAACTAACACTGCCATGTATGAACCAAGTTATCTCCCTTCATTATCAGACTCTAGTTGTCGGTAGTTTCACTTCATTTCATAAGTTAAATAATCCAAAATTCAAATAATACCTCGACTGCATTTTTTGCCAAAGCAAATCAATAACTATCAACAAGATTATAAGAAATAGTCTGCCATTTCATTAAACATAAATATATATTTTTAAAATTGGTATTGCACATTTTACCGTCACTCTGTCACAGCCTTGCCCACAGTCCTCTATGAAACTATCAAACTCACATTTCTTTCATTGATTTCTTTAGTTAATTTTTTCTTATTTGTTTTTGTTTTTTCCCTTTTTTCTTTCTGTTATTTTCATGAAAAGATGCTGATTTTCTACTTTCTACTGAACAAGACATGAACATACATATCGCATGGCTTACCATTATAGGTTGTGCAAAATAGTATCATACTGTCGAAAGCCACAACCTCTTTCTCAATTCTCCCTAGTAAACCAATGAATATGACATATTAGTTTAAAATTTGGGGGAACATTTTTGAATTCAACTTTGTATGAAAGCATGTGTTAGGATTTCGACATAAACAACTTTCCTCTTGAAGACAAAAAGGGTGTTTCATCTTGCTATACAAATCTGAAAGTTTTGCAGTGACAAACGTTTCTGATTTTCAATGCATGAATAGCATATAGTGGGTTAGCTCGGACAAGGTTTAATAAATCATTTCATCATCAACGATAACAGGTCAACAGTCAGCTAAAATAAAATAACACCTCCAGGAGGCGTCGCGGAATGAATGTGTCAACAAAGTTTTGAGTCTAGTCAGACTGAATGAGTTCGATGTGCCTGTCGAACTGTGATATCCCAGGGTTCATCAGGCCGCTTGATGATCATGTGATCAGTCAATTGATCTTTCAGAAGTTCCGTGGATTTTTCGGATGATTGTGCGGTGATTTGGGTATGGCCCTTTCGCTTTTTCCAGTGAATCTCCATTTCGATTTCGATTTCGTAGTTTTCCTCATGCAAAGTGACACACTCAGCAGCATTCACATAGTCTGAACAAAGATATTTGATGTGAGTGGTGGAGGTCACGACAAAGGTGATACAACCTACATAAGATCCTGTACCCATTTCAGAAAATAAACCCTAGCACCTACGTCCTTACCTATGCCCACCTACACCTACCTTGACTAACCTACCCTAAGCCTTCCTTACACCTACAGTCCTAAGATAAAATGTCGATATAATGAATCCTAGCATTTTTTAGTTGTCATTGACAACCAAAGTGCAGCTCCATGGCAACCAAAGATTTTATTTTTTAGAAATAGAAAACATATTTGTTCTGCAATGACATTGAGTTCATTAAAGTATTGATTTTGTTCAAAGATGTGTATTATATATACACAGGTATATAGGTTTACAATATGCAGGTAATTGTATATATTTGGATACTGCTAATCATGCATATTCCATCTAACATCTACATACTCAAATTTTACTAAATATCTGCTATCTTCTACTTCCCAGACTCATAACAATTTTTATAATTTATATAAATATATATGATGAGATTATGAAAACCCAATAAAAACGTAAATATTTATGATAAACAAATACTAATATAAGAATCTATGCTAAAATATGAATTATTTAATATATATATTTATATATATATATGTATTAATCTATATAATAAATATATAAAGAGATATCTTATGAATATGCATTTTACTTTCATTAGTATCTGTTTAATGAATATTCATGATGATGATAAATATATTATGTGCAGAAGAAAAATATAGATTTTATCGTTGTGATACTAAGCTACACTACTAAATCTAAAAATTATTTAAAAGGATTTTAGAAAATTACGAATAAAACGCCACCAGATACAATTGTATATTGATGTGAATAAGTGCGACATTTACATGTGTCAGACTTGGCCATGAACAAACCCAGACGAATGATCTGATTGGTCGACAATGTAATGGAGGATTTGATTAGTCAAAAGGATGGTTAAATGTTTATCAGTTTAAAATCATTTTCAATTGACCAATTAAGGTAAAAATGTATTAGGAGTTAGCTTCAAATCAACGTAATATTATGTCATGGGGTAAAAATTAAAAAGCAAAGGAAAAATGGCAATTAATAAAAGGGTTAATCAATAACGAGTTATGGGGGCAAACTAAAAATGAAAAATGAGGCGTATTAAATTGATAAAATAAATATTGTGATTGAAATAAAAAGAAATGATAATGAGTCTAAAATCAGATTAAAATGAAAAAATAATACACTTGAAAATAAAAATAAATAGAAATATTTAGGAAAAATAAGAGCATCGTATAGATAGCAGATATACAAAGGCTAAAATTACATCACAAAGCAACGATATCCGCAGCAAAACAACAACTTTCACACAAAGCTATGTTTACAATAGCATTGGACTGTTATACATCAGTATAGGTGATAAGAAACCACATTGTCAACAATACGTCGATATCAAAACCACTGAGCCATAAAAAACTGGACACAAGTATGACATTTTGCCATATTTGGTCATGTAAGTTAACGATTGAACTCATGCTGTGTAAACAACATCCATGCCATGCGTCATAATTGAAGAGAAAACAACTTCAAATATTTGCAATGAAACAATTTTATTGTTGTATAACAGCATCGAGTATACAGGTAAACGACTCAGCTACAGGTGCAAAATGTTCAAAGTGACCACTCTGCGCCTCAGTGACCACAGTGGTCTTTCCCAATGTTTTGGACCTGACCAAGTCGGACAGGAGAGACGAGAGCATCGTAAATACCTTATATTGTGTGACAATGTGGTTTTTAAAAAAAAAAAAAAAAATTAAAAAAAAAATATTTGAAAAAACGCTTCCAAAAATTTATTTAAAAAAAAAAAAAAACTTACAAGAAAAAATTTGTAAACCCCCTTCCCAAAAATTTTTTAAAAAAAAAAAAAAATCTCCCTCAATTTTACAACCTTTGATGATGAAAAATTGTGAACAAATTTTGAATGAAATGAAAGTTTGAGAAACGTGTTCATTTCTAAACGTAAGAGTTAGTTTGTCAGTTATCTATCTATCTACAGACATAGATATCATAGCTACAGTTCTACCGTATTTATAAAATACAACTGAACTATCAAAGTACCTAGAAGTATATATACAATTTTTTGTATACATATATACAAATTAACACAGCAATGCTTTGATAATTTCTTTTTTAAAAATATCCTGTATTTTGAAAAAACAATAAAAAAATTATGACATATTTTGAAAAGATAGAGATTTTTCCATTTTTTTCTGATGGAAATACAGCCGCCAATTTTTTTACATATAAAAATTTCATATGAGTTACTTTGAAAACTTTGAAATTCCCTAATGAATCTGTTATCAGAAAAACATTCAGTTTTGTCAGAATACTGTGAACATTATTGTTCGGAAAGAAGATACCAGCCATACAGTTGAAATTTAACAGCTGACGGCGAGCCGACATTACAATGATCAGCTAATGATGCAGACTACAGCTACAGCTACTAACAGTACATTATAGTTACTATAGCAACCGATTAGCAAATAAAATATCAAAAGCACTGCACTTCAAATTCAAGCATCCCACTGACCAACATCACTGTCAAAATCTGAGTCTGGGGCACGTTTCAAAATCTCACTCAAAATGGGGAGGAGAGGAAGAGGGCCTCATACATTTGGAAAGGGAAAGGAACTGGCCCAGAACTCTTCCATAAGGAAATTTCCCCATTTTCCCTCACTCTATTTTATGTAACATCAACAATTTTGTTACATGTATAATTGTGCATTTTCCCCTAATAATTAATAGGTTAATAGGGGTTTTCTTTTTTCTATTTTTCTTTTTTTCTTTTTTTTTCTTTTTTTTTCATAATGAAATCTGTCACCTGTAATATACATGTTTTACCATTCAACCAAACCATCCTTCCCTCTAGCTCCTCACAAGCCTCCCTCTAGCTCCTCACAAGCCTGCCTCTAGCTCCTCACAAGCCTCCCTCTAGCTCCTCACAAGCCTCCCTCCCCCTTATTGCCCCAGGATTATGCTACTAGGTCAGTCAAGGGATGGAATTAGAAGCACACTAAATATTCAGACCATTAATTTTAGAGCAACAGGCACCATTACCAATGATTTCAGAGTTACCTGCCCTTGAAATATTTAATGTCAAACCATTCCTACCAGAAGTATTTTTTTTCTTTTTTTTTTCTTTTTTTTTTTGCAAAACAAAAAACCCTCTTTTAAAACTTGTTTGTAAAACTTTAAAATAGATAGAAATTTTAATAAACAAAACGATTCAAAAGGGCAGGTAACTCTGGACTAAAAATGTATAATTCTCCTTGCACCATCATTTTGATGAGAATGTACATACTCAACAAATTTCTTATTCACACAAACTGGTAATCTACAGCTCAGCTGAGAGAGAAAAACATAAATTTAGCAAATTTAAGCATGAAAAAAAAATTCCTTCAACTCTTCAGAATTTTAAGTAAAAGAAATTTCCAAAGAATTGCTTCAGATGAAGGAGGGTAAATTCTTTGGACTTTCTTAGACTTGATATCATTTCAGAATGAGGCCATTTGTTTTGTTCATTAATTCAGTCTCTAATGATATAAATTTTGGTATCAACAGACGGGCTGGGTCTGATGAATACGAGTGTTTAATTCTCTCTCAACTGATGAATTTTCACTATGGCCAAGCCTGACAAGAGAGGATAGACACAAGACTAAAGAGGTTTCCATGGCAACAAGAGAGGTTAAGAGAGTTCCCATGACAACGAGAGAAGTGATGTCCATGGTAACAGATCGCCATGCGTCTATGAGATGATTCTTACTTTCCACGAAAATCTCAATAGTTGTAGTGGCAACGCCGTGCTGGTTGGTCGCCTCACACTTGTAAATGGCTTCGTCGTCCAGGTATATGTGTTGTATAGTAAGGCGACAAACTCCTTTGTGGTACTCTGTCACGTAGTGTTCGTCAGGACGTAGCTCTTCATCATCCTGAGAAACAGACAATACAAAATAGGTGTTAAAATACTTGCAGCAGAATTGATACAGCTCGAATTTAATGCTGACTTTTACGTTCTGAAAATTGCCTGATGGAAATTCGACAGTGCTGATCTGGGAAAAAATGTCTACAATCCATACTTGTTATTCAAAGTAAAGGATCATGTCCAATTCCAAAATGTATAGTGTTTCAGCGAATTGTGGGAGGACCCAACGTTAGAATTTGGTATGTTCTCACATTTTGAGGGGATGTATTTCTGGGTAAAAGACACTATTTATCTAACTAAGACTCTTTGGAGGCCATCAGTGTTGCCCCCCTTACCTGGAACCACATGACCTCGGGAGTGGGCGTGCCGGTCACTACGCACTCGACCGTAACCGTGGAGCCTTCGTGTACATTGACTTGTCGCTGGAGGGTCTGTATGAAACGGGGAGCTTCCGTAACCCCCTCTTCAACTTTAGGGGCCGTGCTTTCCTCTGTAATCACAGCTTGTGCAACAGTTTCTGTGGGCGACACAGGACAGAATTATCATAAGATAAACTATAAGCTCTTTATTTCCATTCTAAATAAATGTTAAGACATGCATTCCGACACAGAAAATGACAATACAATCAAAGTCTGCCTGAAATTAAGCAGTATTCAACACAGTGTAATTTTAGATGCAGTGTAATTTTAACAAAGAGGCATCTTATTATTTCATTTGTGCCCCATTTTATTTTCAACTTAAATGAAAGAGCAAATTCTGGGCAAAAATTATCATACATGTAGTTACCAGTATTCATAAGTCTAAACGGCAAAGTCGGCAGGGTGAACAATCAAATAATAACATTCTTAACTTCTAGTTGTCAGCCCCCTGGTTTTTTTTCGAAACTGTAGAAAATCTCTAAATTGGTTGGTAAATCACAAACGCACATGTCAACGTTAACAATTCATTCTGAAATGTAAATTAATTTGATTCTACGACCAACATTTGGTAGGTCCTCTGACACCGCACATTAGTCTTTGCTGAACAAAGTTACTACTTCATTCACCCCTACATACTTTAAGTGGACTTTCCCAGTACTTGATTTCGGTAAGGTTCAAATGAGACTTCTAGGGGTAAATGGGTTAAGTTATAAAACCTAAAAAATAAAACTCATTAAACTTTCTGTGACTTACCTTGTGTTTCAGTCTTGACCTGTATTTCAACGGTAGATACCTCTTCAACAGTTTGGGCTTCGATGACCTTTTCACTGACCTCAAATCCCATGGTAACGACCTGTTGCTGGCTGACCTCTATGGTTTTTTGCACAGTTTTTGCAGGTTTCTTCTCTTCCAAGGCTGGAGGCAAGCACACAGATCTCAAGTGAGTATGGATAATATATTTTACATTTACAAAAGGTTATCTTCCAATGGGTGATTTACCAAAACATTTTTCTCAAATTGTATAATACTGTTTAAAGTGGAACCTTGTTATCATTTACAAGAATAGTGTAGTTCAGATCTTTGATTCCACTTATCTCTTAATTTTTATTTTTTTAATTTAATTTTTACAAAAATTAAGTAAAATCCTTTTATTGATATGAACATTTTGATACTTTTACAATTCAAATTGAAACAATTCCTTTTCCATGAACAAATCTCAGAAGCTTTGTAAACTATTTGATCAATCTCAGAAGCTTTGTAAACTATTTGATCAGATAACATCAGATTATATCTAATATTGAAACATTTATTCTGAAATAAATTTTCAGTTAAACAGCGTCATGTAAAATATGCATGCACATGTTCAATGGGAATAAAAGGAAGCTTTTTTGCAGAGGTCTTGATGGAGGCAACACACTCAAGGGAACTTTTTTCAAGGACATAAATGTCTTTGAATCCAAATGGCACAAAAACAAGACAACACAAAATAATAAATTATCTGAAGCATGAGTGACTACACCCAGGCTCATAATCCAAATGAGTAGACATTGACCTTGACAGAGTAAACAACAACAAAATCTATAGAAAAGCTAACACCCAATTTCACAATGTTACGACAATACGATCTAATCTAAGATTAATAACTGAGTTACACACATAGTATTCTGTAACTAATAAAATAAAAAAAGGAAACATACTATACACTACATTTTCTACATAAACAACATCAAGTAAAACATACTACCTACCGCTACCGGGTATTAAACTTACATTCTTCGGTGATTTCCTCTGGAGTTTCCTCTGGAGTTTCCTCGGATGGGACAATCTCCATAGTGGCTGTTTGTGTGGTTTCCTCAGTGGGTTTCTCTGTGGCTGTGACAGGAACCTCAGAAATTACTTCTTCTACTGTTAAGTCCTCACTCACAGCTAGATCAACCGATACTTCAGTTTGTACCTGGTCGCTAACACTGACATCAGCCGTCACAACACTCACTTCCATCTTGCTGGGTTTCTCAGTTTCTACCTCAAATTTGTCCTCAGCTTGTTCTTCTGGCTGAAGATCTACTGCGACATCAACTTCAGTCGGCTTAGCCTCCTGAATGGCAACCATTTTAGATGCCTCTGTGATTATTTCGTTAGCAAATTTTTGTGCGATATCTTCAAGTTGGGTCTCGGTTTCGAGAGGGACTTCCTCTACTTCTTTTACTATGGCCACTTCTGAATCTTCGACATCAATTTGTTCCGTGACCTCAGATACAGTTTCTTCGACTGGTTTTGCAGTTTCAACTTCTGGTTGGTCTTCAGAAATTTCTTCAGTTACGATATGTTCAATTTCGGAAACCTCTGTTGGGATAACATCTTCTGCAAATGTTACCACTGAGACTTTAGATTCTTCAATCTCAGATGGTGTCTCTGTCTCGGCTTCTGGTTGGTCTTCCAAGAGCTCTTCCTCAAGTATGTCCTCAGCTTCAGAAACCTCAGATGGGATGGTTTCCTCAGCAAATGTGACTTTGGTAACTTTGGAAACTTCTACTTCCACAGTTGTCTCCTCTGTCACACCTGGCTGGTCTTCCACAGATTCCTCAGTAAGAATAGCTTCTTCCAAAGTGATCTCAGAAGTTTTGGTGTCCTCGACAGCAGGGGTGACGGTAACCTCCTCAGCAACTTCCTCTGGAGTTATTTCGGTACCCACTTCTGGGTTTTCCTCAGCCTGTTCCTCAGGAAGTACATCCTCCTCAGTTTTTACAACAGAAGGAATTTCTTCGTCGATTGTTACAGTTTCTTTGACTTCTGTAACTAAATCCTCTTTTGGTTTTTCCGTCTCCCTTTCCTCGCTTAGTTCTTTGATGTCCTCATCGACAAGAAGTTCATCTGTGGTTTCCACCTCTGATGTGATGGTGTCTTCCACAGAGACTTGTTCAGTAATGGGAATTACAACCTCCTCGATGGAGCTGTCTGTGATAATGTCTGCGGTAGTTTCAGGTGCCTCCTCTGCTGGAATTGTTTCCTCGCCTGGTGCAACCTCAGATGGTTTTGATTCCAATTCAATAGCAACCTCAGTTATGTCAGAAACCTCTGTCTCTATTGTTTCTTCTGTCTCAAATTCTGGTTTCTTTTCTGTAACCTCATCAACTGGAATGTCAGATTCGGTAGCTGCAGTTTCAGAAACCAGTTTCTCTGTGACAGAAGAAACCTCAGACACTGTAGGTGTGACACTCTCAGAAGGTTTCTCTTCCTCAATGTCTTGCGTTGTTTCCACAGCCTCTTCTGCTGAAATAACAGCCTCCTGTGTACTGACATCAGTTGGTTGTTTGTCTTCCATGGTGAGAGACTCAGTGACTTCAGTGACAGTTTCTTCACTTGGTTTTTCTGTTTCTACCTCTACATCAATTTCTGTGACAGTTTCCTGGGTAATTTCGTCAGATTCTGGCCTAGCTTCTGAAGGTTTCGTCTCATCTACAGAGACATGAGTCTCCACTAGTGGAACATCAGACTCTATGGTTGTTTCCTCTTCTGGTGAGGGTTTAATTTCAGGAACCTCCTCTTCAGGTATAAGTTCCTCTGAAATTTCAATGTCTGTAGTTTTGGTAACATCAACTGTTACAGTTTCAGAGACATCTTCTTCTACTTGTTCTGGAATATCCTCAGTCAGTTGGATCTCAAGTTCAGCAATCTCCTCTGGTACTGCAAGATCCTCCTCAGTTTTAGCCTCTGAAGGCTTAACTTCCTCAATGACTACTGTTTGTGTGACTTCTGAGACAACTTCCTCAGAAGGTTGAGTCAAGTCAATATTCAAGGAAATCTGAGAGACATCTTTCTCCGGCTGCAGGAGTTCCTCCTCAGTGACTTCAGACAATTCCACACTTTCTGTTGTCTTTTCTTCAGTAGTTTCTGGTATTTCTACATCCTTGATTTGAGTTGGAACAGTTTCATCTACCAAAACTGTTTCAAGCAGTTCTTTGGTGAATTCCACTGCATATTTTTCAATGGTTTCGACTATAATCTCTGAGGTTTCTACATCCTTCTTCTCTTCATCCTCCTCAGTCATTGAGACATCCTCATCCTCCCTGATGACGAGTTCTTCATAGGAGTCAGTGACGTACTCCTCAGATTTCTCCAGATCAAAGCTGACCTGCTTTTGGACTTTCTCTTGTTCTACAACAGTTATTTCCTCAGCAGTTTCAGTTTCTGGTTTCTCTTGAATAACAATGGTCTCTTTGGTTTCCTCAATGGTTTCTTCCTTTGGTTTCTCAGCCATTTCTTCAAGAACCTCCTCAACTACATCAGTCTGTTCTTCTGTTGTGGTAACTGGGGTTTCAGCAGGTTTCGATTCTTCTACTGATACAGTTTCTGCTGTCTCCTCTAGTGTATCAATAACTGGTTTGACAGTTTCAATCTCTGTGATGTCTTCAGTTGGTGCTTTATCAACATCAATCTCCAGTTTTGAGACCTCCGATTCCTTACTTTCCTCAACAGTGATGGTTTGTCTTACCTCCGTTGTCATTACCTCCTCGGGTTTCTCTGTCTCAACCTCTGGAGTTTCATCCAGTAACTCCTCTGCCTGAAAGGAAACCTCTGTAACCTCACTTCTGCTGGGCTTTTTGATATCAATAACGACAGTTTCCTCGGAATATTCAGAAGATTTTGAATCAGTTGTGTCAATTTGAATTTCAGATATTTCTTGAACAGCTAGTGTTTCCTGGTCTTGTTCCAGTTGGTCAACTTCTGTTGGTTTTTCCTCCAGTATTTCGATGGTTTCTCTGGTCACTTCTGTGACTTCCTCTGTGGGTCTCTGGATTTCCATTTCCATGTCGACTTCAGAGGATATTTCCACAGAAACTACAGCATCTGTTTCTGTAACAACTGTAGGTACTTTCTCATCAAAAACAATGACTTCGCGTGTTTCCTCAATTGTTTCCTCTGATGGTTTCTCGGCCTCCGTCTCTGGTTGAATTTCCTCTGTCTGAGTTTCTTGTATCTGAAGATCGACCTCCGACACTTCTGTAGGTTTGCCTACAGTGATTGTGACAGATTCGCTGGTCTTTTCTGTCTTTTGCTCCGTAGAAACATCAGTCTGGTCCTCAGGTATTTCTTCATGTTGTTCAAAGGTCTGTTCTTCAACTTGTTCCTTAACATCTGTTGGTGTGGTGTCTTCAAGTTTGATTGTTTCGTGAGTTTCCTCCAAAACCTCTACCTTTGGTTGTTCTGTCTCTACAGGGACAACATCAGCAACTTCAGTGGAGAGTGTTTCTTCGAAGATTTCTGTAACATCCGTTATCTTCTGATCATCAACATCAGCCATCTCATCCGTCTCAATGATGATTTCTGAAACAACTTGAGTGACCTCAACTTCCTCAGATTCTGTGATTTCTACAGTGAGAGTTTCTTCAGTTTCTTCGGAAACCTTGGCTGGTTTCTCCTCTTCAACATCTACAGTTTCTACAGTGGTTTCTGTAACATCTGACAGCGATTCTTCGGGTTCTATTTTGACATCAGTGACCTCCTCAGTAACAGGTTTATCAGTGACCTCTTTGACCTCTGTTGTGACCTGGGTAGATTTCACCTCTGGCTTGACCTCCATGACCTCTCTTTCTGTCTCGATGGTCTGAACCTCTGGAGGAGAAGATTCTGTTAATTCTTCAGATTCAACAGGAAGTTCAGTAACAACAATGACCTCTCTTTCTGTCTCGATCGCATCTTCCTTTGGAGCCTCAACCTCAGTTTCTTCAGTGACCTCAGAAATCTCTTTGGTTTCCTTAAAGGTTACCATGGTTTCTGGTTGCTGTGGTTTAATTTCAATCTGTATTTCCTGTTGTTGTGCAGTTGGGATGATGTCAATTGTTTCAGTGAAGTGTTGAGTTTCTGTAACAGTTTCCTCTGAAACATCAGTTACCTGTGTTTCGCCCTTCAGTACTGGTGTTAGCTCTACTTCCACCTCCGTAGTCTGTGGCTTAGAGGCTAGTTCCAGAGTTTCCTTAAACTTTTCTTCAGGTGTAATTTCAACGGGACTTTCGTCCTCTTTGTGAACTATTTCGAGCATTTCTCTGAAGGTAGTTTCTGTAACAGATTCAGGTGCTGCAATTTCAACCTCAACGATGTCCGGCTGTTTATGAACATCCAATGTAATTTCCGACACTTCTGAAGGCACGTTGGGTTTCTCCTCTGGAATAACAGAAACAATTTCTGTGATGGACTCTTCCGTTATTTCAGTTGTGGTTTTGGTGATCTCAGTAGTGGTTTCCTCTGGTGCGATGTCAATTTCCACTTCAGTGACCTGGGGTTTGCTGTCAATCACCTTTTCAGTTCGGACGATGGTCTCCTCACTGATTTCATCAAAATCAACAGGTATAGAGATTTCAGTTTTTTCTGTTTTCTTTTTGATAATAACAGTTTTGACCTCCTCTATCACCTCTTGTTCAACTTGGGTTTCTACAGGTGTAAATTGTAACTCTAGTTCGGATAATTGCGGTTTTGGTGAGACTTCTTTTTCTGTTTTTACAACAACTTCCTCCTCTGGGAATTCTATGATGGGTTCCGTTTTGATTTCAGAAACCTCTGTAGTTGTTTGAGGAATTTCAATGGTGTCTCTGAAAGTGGTCTCCGTGACAACCTCAGGAGCAGTGACTTCAACTTCTTCAACTTCTGGCTGCTTTTCAATAATCTCCAGAGTTATATCAGAAAATTCAGTTTCAGGATTTTCCTCAGGGATAATTGAAATTGTCTCTGTGAAAGTTTCCTCTGTAACTTTGGTGATTTCGGTCACCTCAGTAGTAGTAGTGGTTTTCTCTGGTGCGATGTCAATTTCCACTTCAGTGACCTGGGGTTTGCTGTCAATCACTTTTTCAGTTCGGACGATGGTCTCCTCACTGATTTCATCATCATCAACAGGAACAGAGATTTCAGTTTTTTCTGTTTTCTTTTTGATAATAACAGTTTTGACCTCCTCTATCACCTCTTGTTCAACTGGGGTTTCTACAGGTGTAAATTGTAACTCAAGTTCGGACAATTGCGGTTTTGGTGAGACTTCTTTTTCTGTTTTTACAACAACTTCCTCCTCTGGGAATTCTATGATGGGTTCCGTTTTGATTTCAGAAACCTCTGTAGTTGTTGGAGCAATTTCAATGGTGTCTCTGAAAGTGGTCTCCGTGACAACCTCAGGAGCAGTGACTTCAACTTCTTCAACTTCTGGCTGCTTTTCAATAATCTCCAGAGTTACCTCAGAAAGTTCAGTTTCAGGTTTTTCCTCAGGGATAATAGAAATTGTCTCTGTGAAAGTTTCCTCTGTAACTTTGGTGATTTCGGTCATCTCGGTAGTAGTAACGGTTTCCTCTGGTGCGATGTCAATTTCCACTTCAGTGACCTGGGGTTTGCTGTCAATCACTTTTTCAGTTCGGACGATGGTCTCCTCACTGATTTCATCAACATCAACAGGTACAGAGATTTCAGTTTTTTCTGTTTTCTTTTTGATAATAACAGTTTTGACCTCCTCAATCACCTCTTGTTCAACTGGGGTTTCTACAGGTGTAAATTGTAACTCTAGTTCGGACATTTGTGGTTTTGGTGAGACTTCTTTTACTGTTTTTACAACAACTTCCTCCTCTGGGAATTCTATGATGGGTTCCGTTTTGATTTCAGAAACCTCTGTAGTTGTTGGAGCAATTTCAATGGTGTCTCTGAAAGTGGTCTCCGTGACAACCTCAGGAGCAGTGACTTCAACTTCTTCAACTTCCGGCTGCTTGTCAATAACTTCAAGAGTTATCTCAGAAAGTTCAGTTTCAGGTTTTTCCTCAGGGATAATTGAAATTGTCTCTGTGAAAGTTTCCTCTGTAACTTTGGTGATTTCGGTCACCTCAGTAGTAGTAGTGGTTTTCTCTGGTGCGATGTCAATTTCCACTTCAGTGACCTGGGGTTTGCTGTCAATCACTTTTTCAGTTCGGACGATGGTCTCCTCACTGATTTCATCAACATCAACAGGAACAGAGATTTCAGTTTTTTCTGTTTTCTTTTTGATAATAACAGTTTTGACCTCCTCAATCACCTCTTGTTCCACTGGGGTTTCTACAGGTGTAAATTGTAACTCTAGTTCGGATATTTGTGGTTTTGGTGAGACTTCTTTTTCTGTTGTCACAATCTCTTCCTCTGCAACCTCTGGAAGGTCATCTTTGACTGGAATTGTCAGTTCTGTGACCTCTTGAACTTTCTCCTCGGGCACAGCCTCTTCCTCCTCTAGCTCTTGAATGGTGATCGGTGACTTTGGAACGACTTCCAAAGTTTCCTTGAAGAAAGATTCCTCATCTGTTTCTTGTGCTTCAGAGGAAGGAGCACTTCGAGCTGAAATCGATTCAAAATACACAAACTGTCAATTTTAGACATTCCTAACTCTAAGAAGAATCCTAACGGCCTTGACCTTACCTTCTGTTTACCAGTTACCTTATTCTGTGCTAAAATATGTCATCACCTGTCAGAAAAAATGGAGGCATGATCCAATGTCCAAAACAAGACCAAAAAATGTTCAATTTAGAAACCGCATGACACCTTGGGTGGGCTTCAGGGTGCAATTTTAGGATCAAAAATTCAAATTCAAATACCAAACAAGGGAAAGTTTCATATTGTGAAATTCTGGGATCACAAACTTAAGGAATGCTTCATTCATTTTATCTTTAAAGAAGAAGGCAAATTTCTGGATGTTTTTGTGTTCAAATTGAGAACAGGTTTCAGAAAGTCAAAATGGATATTCAAAATGGTGCGCATACTGAAGGAAAAGTTCACAAGTCAAACCATAATACGCATGATTCTGGTGTACAGTTCAAAGGTCAAACAGAATAGGTTCAAAGGTCAGGTAACACAGTAGCACACAAGGTAAGGTTATAGGAGTTCAGGTACAGATGTAAAAAGTGACAAGTCTTATCAAATTTTATGACAAAAATTAGTCAAAAAGATATTTCAGAATACTAATGAGCGTTTTTTGTCAACCGAAGACACTTTCAAATTAACTAATTCAGATTCTTTTTTCTGTAATTAACATATTACAATTACAATAGTCAAAAATACCATTTGTCAAAAAGCAATGTTTTTCATATTTTCCTCCAATTTTGAAACACATGTACTTATAACTCATTTCTTTTTAATTTAATTTGAAGCATAATTCAAATATCAAAAAAATAATCAGTGTGAATCAGAAACTAAATAATTTGTACTCAAATATTTGTGAAAGGATTCAAAAGGATTGGTTTGAGATAGTGCAGGTAACCAAATAGAAAATGTTCTTTTAACACAACCTAAGATATTTCATTGTTATCAAATTTAAATCAGCAGAAACAAATTTTCATTCAAAACTTTCCTAATTGTTTTTTTTTTGAAATACAAAAGAATGCATAACATTGTTAAATCTTGTAACATGAATTTGTCTCCATATTTTTTTCTTCTAAAATTGAATTTATTGGAATTTTTTTCTTTCAACATTAGATGCTTGTTCCTGAAAATTACAATTTAAATGAAATTTCAATTTTAATCATTTCTGTTTTTTACAAATCCATTTTCTGCTAATTTAAACAGATAGATGATGACCAATAGGAATTTAGGAAATGTTGGATAAAATGCTTTTGGGATGAAACAAGCTTGCAGTACTTACGAAGAACGCAGATGTAAGCTGTGGACCTCGCTGTGCCAGCCTTGTTCGTAACCTCAACCCAGTACTCTCCTTCGTCTTCCGGATATGCGTCCTTGATGATGAAGGAGCTGGTGGTTTCCGTGACAACAATCTCAATGTCCTCGCTCGTTTTCAGTGGTTCGCCATCCAGAAACCAGGTGACCTTTGGAGCAGGCCGTGCTGTGAAGACGACCTCCAAATGAAGAGCATTGTTTTCCATGATGGTGATATCTGTGAGTGATGTTGTGAATCGTGGACTCTGGACTTCCTCGGTTTCAATGGTTTCAACCTTCTTGGCAATCTCGAAGGAAATCTCTTGTACCTGAATTGGGGTCTCAGTTTCTGGTTTTTGTTCTGGAACCATTTCGATTTCCACAGTTTGTGTGGCCTCTTTGACCATTTCAGTTTTTGTGACAACAGTTTCGCTGGTTGCTTTGGAAACCTGGAACTCAATCTCGACTGGCACAGTTTCCTGTGTGACAGGAATCTTGATCTCGGTGACTTCGGATTTATCCACAGTTTTCTCCTGGACAGTTACCTTTGTCTGTTCAAACGTTGTCTTCGTGGGTTTGATCTCAATAACTTCTACCTCAGATGGCATTGTCTCCTCCGGATGAATTGAATCCAGGGGTCCTGTCTCCTCCTCTGACAGTGTTTCTTCAGTTGTTGGTACCTTGCTTTCGCGTCTCGTTTCTACTATAGCCGTGCTGACCTCAGTGGTGACGACAGATGATGTGCTGGTCTCCTCAGTTGCCATAGTAACCTCCACAGTCTCCTCAGGCTTAAGAGATTCTTCAGCCGTCTTGGCTGTGGAAGGCTGCACCGGCTTCTTGGTGATATCTGCAGATAGGGCAAAACATGAGAGATTAAGTATTCTTATAACAACTGGAGGGTACTGTACATTACATTTAATTAAGATCAGATCTCTTACTGTACAGCATTACCTGTAGCAAAGTACAGAAAAATGATAACAATGAAAGATCTGATTTTAATTATATTGCTCAACACTAAGCGAATTAATTTGAAAAGACCAGAAGCAGGACGAACATATCATAATGTACATATCCATAATACCATATCTTACCAGTGATAACTTTAGGTTCGTGACTAAGTCCACATTTTAACAAGTACCGAATAGAAAGGATGTATCATTGGATCAGACCATGTAAAATAATCCGTAAAAATCAGTTAGAAAGTTCAGATGAATTAGAAATTTCCTTTATGTGAGGAATGTTCCTTAAACTCAGGTCTGGATTTGATTGACTGCCTTTGAACACATCACAAGTAAGATATAGAAGTGTGTAATTACAAAGAACAAATCATGACTAAAGCTATTGCGTATCTCTCACCTAGGCCAAAAATATATTGTCTGAAAAATACTTTGCATTAGCATGTACTAAAATATTAGAAAGTTTTTTCCACAACTGTTTTTTTGTTTTATGAAAATTCTGTTTAATTTCAGAAAAATAAGTTCCATAAACTACCTTTTTCAGAGTGAAAATAAATCTGAAACTTTTCATTCCAAAAATATCTGAAAAAACCCAATCATTTCAGAAAAAAATGACACTAACAAAATATATTTTGATTAAAAAAATTACGAAGTTTTGGTCCAAAACTGTTTAGAGGTCCTATTGTACAAGAATATATGCAAGAGTCAATAAATTTGAGTAAACCTTTCCTTTCTAACTGTGATATAAGATGATTTTAAGTCTTTACAAAATGAATGCATGGTTTTGACACTCCTGAAGAAAACTCCATGAAATGATACCAAACTCATCACAAAATATCCCATTCCAGTTGGCTGAACAATTTATGTTTGAATCAACCAGAATAGGACAAAGTTTGGTCAGAGTTGACTCCGGAGATCCCACAACCATGCCAAAATAATTGAAAAATGTTTCGAGATCTTGGTCTTGACATGTCTACAACAAACTCCAAAATAAAACCAAACTCAGAATAAAATGTTCAACAACTCTGATTGGTTTAGCACCGTTTGTGTAGACCAATCAACCATTGCTACGAGTTTGGATGGAGTTGAATCTGAGATCCCAGGACCAGGCAGAAATAGTCGATAATTGTTGAGAGAGAAAAAAAACACTTGGTCGTGACATGTCTGCAGCAAACTCCGAAAATGAAACCAAACTTGGAGAAAAATCATTCACTAATCTGATTGGTTTATCACTAACTGTGTAGACCAATCAGACATAGCCTGAAGTTTGGACGGAGTTGACTTCTGATATCCCAGGACCAGGCCATTATAGTAGAAAGACATTGACCTGTTACATGGAGGTAGGCCGAGGTGGTTGCCTTGCCGATAGGGTTGGTGACTTCAACAATATATTGACCCTCATCCTCTGGGAAGACCTCTTGCAGCACAAGGATGCTTTGGTGTTCTTGTGTTGTTATCTTGATGTCTTCTGATGGTAGTAGCTCCTCATTCTCCAAGAACCATGCAACCTCTGGAGTAGGGGTGCCAGTGAAGCTAACCTCGAACCTCACTGAAGTTCCCTCCGTGACCTTCATGTCTGAGAGAGGTGATACAAACATTGGTACTTCTTCTTGAGGTTTTGTGACCTCTGACACCTCAGAAATCTCAACAACCTCCTCTGTAGTGTCTGCAACACTCTCAACTGAAACCATTTCTGTTGTTGTGACAGATTCAGTTGTAACATCAAGTGGTTTGGCTTCCTCTGATTGTGGCTCTTGTGTGAAAGGAACTGCATCCTCTGATGCAGGCGCCTCTTCTTGTGTGGTCTCTGCAATGCTCTCCACTGGGGATGTAGCTTTGGGCTGGATAGCCTCTACTGTGACTTCTAGAGGTTTGGCTTCCTCTGATTGGGGCTCTTGTGTGAAAGGAACCACATCCTCTGATGTAGGCGCATCTTCTTGTGTGGTCTCTGCAATGCTCTCCCCTGGGGATGTAGCTTTGGGCTGGATAGCCTCCACCGTGACATCTAGAGGTTTGGCTTCCCCAGATTGGGGCACTTGTGTGAAAGGAACTGCCTCCTCTGATGCAGGCGCCTCTTCTTGTGTGGTCTGTGCAATGCTCTCCACTGGGGATGTAGCTTTGGGCTGGACAGCCTCTACTGTGACCTCTAGAGGTTAGGCTTCCTCTGATTGGGGCTCTTGTGTGAAAGGAACCACATCCTCTGATGCAGGCGCCTCTTCTTGTGTGGTCTGTGCAATGCTCTCCACTGGGGATGTAGCTTTGGGCTGGATAGCCTCCACCGTGACATCTAGAGGTTTGGCTTCCTCAGATTGGGGCACTTGTGTGAAAGGAACTGCATCCTCTGATGCAGGCGCCTCTTCTTGTGTGGTCTCTGCAATGCTCTCCACTGGGGATGTAGTTCTGGGCTGTACGGCCTCTACCGTGACCTCTAAAGGTTTGGCCTCCTCAGATTGTGGTTCTTTTGTGAAAGGAACCACATCCTCTGATGCAGACGCAATTTCCTGTGTAGTTTCTGTGATGCTCTCGACTGGAGAGATATCTTTGGACTTGACAACCTCAACTGTGACATCTAGATGTTTGGCTTGCTCAGATTGTGGTTCTTCTGTGATGGGAACCACTTCCTCGGATGCAGGTGCCACTTCTTGTGTGGTCTCCGTAACGCTCTCCTCTGGTGCCAAAGCTGTTAGCTGGACAGCCTCTGCAGTGACATCTAGGGGCTTAGCTTCCTCAGGTTGTGGTTCCTGTGTGATAAGAACCACTTCCTCGGATGTGGGTACCACTTCCTGTGTGGTCTCTGCAACACTCTCTACGGGTGCCATAGCGGTAGGCTGGACAGCCTCTGCTGTGACATCTAGAGGCTTAGCTTCCTCCGGTTGTGGTTCCTGTGTGATTGGCGCCACTTCCTCCGTCTCTTCTACCTCTGTGGTCTCCACTGTACCTGCCTGAATTTCCACTTCCTGTGGCTGAGCTGGTTCCTCCTTTGCTTCCAGAATCTCAATCTCCATTTGCTCTTTGACTTTCTGGATCTGCTCCTCAAACTCCTTAGCAACAGTTGATATTTCAGAGTCTGAGTCAATGTGAGGCTTGGGGGAGGCGGCCTCAACGGACGACAGGAACGAGTCTGACGCTTCCTCAGTGTCAGGTACATACTCATAGGCTGTAATGGAGGAGAGCTTGGGAATCAGAGGATTGAATCAAACATGTTCAACAAAGCAAAGGTTAGTCAGGTTGGTCTGTGACATCACAATCATTTGTATTAGTAAACAAATCAAAACACATTTTCTTGAGAGAGACAAAATTCTGCAAGACTACTCAAAATATTTCATTATCTCAATTTCACAGGTCGACAAATCTTGATTAATCTTCTTTGAGAGAATAATGTATTTGGAAGTAAAAAGTGGTTTATCATTCTGAGTACATGCACTTGAAGATTAACCAATTTGTCAGCATGTAAGTAGATATCAATCAATACTTTAGCCAGAATTGCAGAAGGAATATGTTGTCACCTTAATAATTATTTCAATTTAATATCAAAGAATCATCAATACATTCAATTCAATATACCTGGTAACAAAACAACTTCTTTGGTTTGAAATGTAGTCAAATCATGAATGTTTTTTTCCCAAAATTTTGGAAGATGTTAAAGATGAACAAATGATTTTCTTTTTCTTTTTGAAAACTACATATGTACAGGTGAAGGAATGCTATTCGGGAAAATATGGAAAGTTTTACTCAAGGAATGCTGAAGAATAAAACCGAGAGAGCAAATATGGGAACTTTTTCAACACTTCAAATTCACACCCCAGTCAAATACCACACAAACGGGAAATTCAATCATAAAATACAGCCAAATTTTGACTCAGTAGTAACTTTTTCTGATTCAATCCTTTATGTGTTGACCAATACGAAATACCTGCTAAAAGGATTGTGTCGATATACACCAATACTATTTGTATGTCAATATCAGGTATACTAGATTTGCAGAAACTACTCACATTCGACCTCGAGATAGCCACGTGTAATGGCCTTTCCATATTTGTTGATGGCAACACAGGTGTACTCCCCTGCGTCCTGGGGAAATACCTCAACGATAAGCAGAGTGCATGCTCCACTCTCCATGTCATATGTCAGTTTGAAGTCTTGGTTCTCCGTGATCAGTTTGTCATCATGGAACCAGGAGATCTCTGGCATTGGATGACCTTCGACTTCACAACGAAATTTGGCCTCTTCCCCGTCCATGACCTTGAGAGAAGTCAAACCCCATGTGAAATTTGGTGCAAGGTCACCTTCTGGGATCTCAATATCGGAAAACACTTCTTTAGTAGTGGTTGCCTCTGGAACCGTGATTTTTTCTTCAGTTGTTTTAGTGGTTTCTTCAGTAACTATGATCTTGGTTACCTCTTCGACATGTTCAGGCATCTGTAGAGTAAGTTCTATTTCTTTTTGAGGTTGCTCTGTCAGCTGAACAGTGACTTCCTCAGTGGTGGCGTCTCCAAGGTCAGAAACTTGAAAGGTGACTTCCTGCGTGGTGTTAGTCATGGTTTCAGTCTCCTGGGCTTCCAGTACCAAGGGCATTTCCTGGTCATCACCGATCTGGAGTGTGACCTCCACTTCCTCACCCGGTGTTTCCTCCACCTGTATTGGCGTTTCTTCAGGTGTAGATTCCTCTATCTCTGCCACTTGGAAGGTAAAACTCTGTGGTTCCTCCAATACCTCTTCAGTTGTTGTAACTTCCTCAATGACGCTTGTTTCAGTCTCGCCACCAAGTTGAATTGTCATCTCGTATTCCTCTTCGGGTATGTCCTCAATCTGAAGATTAATTTCTTCGGTAGTTGTGTGATCAACTGTGGATATTTCTTGGGTGGTTATCTCATCTGTCCTTGAAGTCCTT